GTTCAATTCTACCAAATCAAGGGAGACCCTACTTTTCAAGCGTGTTCTTCTCTGCCTCCCCTTGCCTGCTCTTGCATCATGACTGGGAGAGAGGGCTCTTCTGCAGGCTGCCCCTGCTAAAGGGAAGGGTGTCACTGCCTCTGCGGATTCAGCTACAGACACATTGGAAGTGAATTCTTGATCCTGGCTTTGACAGGAATGCAGAGTCAGCTCCTAGCTGCTCTGTACTGCAGTTTGGGATTCTCAGTTTTTAGGTGCATGGTGATGTTCTTGTGTAAATGAAAAATAACACCGATGCACGTTTTTCTTTTGTTTTCTGCATTTAGTAACGAATATAGAAATTCTGCTTCATTAACATAAGTATTGAAGGCTGTCATCAAATGTACGTTTCAGAGCTGAACTTCTAAGTTCATTAATCAATATAAATTGTCTTAATCTTAGGATAATTCTGTATGTAGACTACAGAGCATGAAGTGGTGTAGTTCATAGAAGATTAAATTATTCTTCTTTGGATAAGTAAAGTTTATTTAAAACTAATTAAGATGGCAGTACTTTGAACTATTATTTCCAGTACTACTGCAAGTTTTCTCCAGTTCTATTTGAAACCAAGGAAACCAATTACATAAAAGTAAAAGCATAAACTTTCCATTTTAATTTTCAGGAATAAGATTGCCTAGTATGTATTTTTTATCAATTTTTTTTCTGAGAAGGTTACAGAAAATTACCCACAATGTTTGTACTGAGTAAGATATATCTTAGCAATAATAAAAATGACTACTACAACTATCTGCATACTTAATTTTTTATACAAAGTTGTATCTATTGCATTTATATGGCATGTCTGTCTAGGATAAATATTTTTATACCTACTGTCACTGTGAGATTTTCTGTTGGCTCAGAAAAATAATCTAGATGCTTTTAAAGGATACCTGGAGTCAGCTGTAGATCTGGTTTAGTACTAGTGCTAATGTTTTACTAGGTTTTTAGTAGGTTGTAGTGCACCCTGTAGCTGTGTTTTGTCCAAGCTTTAAAGTGATAATTCTGACAGCAGGAACTAAGTTGAAGTTTTAGTTCAGGTAGGTACGTGTCTATGTGTAAGTGTGCATAAGCAGAAATAGGTGCTTTATTTTTTTTTTTCCCCTTAGGTATTCATTTGTGGTTTCATTTAAATAGCATGGCAACACATCATTCCCGACAATAAAAAATTTGACTTGACCTTTAAAGTTTTTTTATCTCAGGTTGGAAAGTAGAGTACTTGAGTTATGTTCACCTGTATCATTTACTTATATTTAATATATATTGACTTGTTTGTTTGTTTGTTGTATTTCATATGTTTGGTTTAATGGGGAGGTGTAGAATGATTTTTGTCTAGTTTGTTATGGAAGCTGGCCTAGCTAGCTGTTATTTCTTTTGCCTCTCCATAACTGTCAGGTCCATAGTGTAAACATTAATCTATAATATTTTAAAAGTTATTTTTAAACTGTTTGCTTTTTCCATTTAAATTGTATATGATCGTGATTAATTGACTAACCCAGACTTTAACACTTAACATTAAGTGCTAATGATAAACTGCAGACAAGATTTAAATTCCATGATATTAGGTTGGCTCTGGCATTTCCTTTCCGGATTCTGGATTTGCAATTATTTTACTCAGGGTTATTTTTTGGTTTTTTGTTTTTGTTTTTTTCTTTAGCTGTTACACTCTGAATTATTGCAAAGTATTTAATACCATTTGGAATTTCCATTGCTTCAATCCTTGCTAAAGATAAGCTAACATCTGCATGAAAAATAATTTAATCAACAAAATATGTGTGCTTGTTTGACATACACCTCTTAAAGTCTTAGCAAACATTCCAGCAGTATTCATGAAGCAAGAAAGTTTCCTTCTTCTAATCCTAGATCAATAAACTGTGTGGTACTTTGCTATAAAATATTTTTTTCTGCAGGAAAAAATGGAATATTTTCAGACCAATTAATGTGCTTTGAAACTCTTGTGTTCAGGTGAAAAATAGCTTCACACATTATGACTTTCTTCACGTAAAGCTCATAGAACCAGTTGCTGAGTACGTAGCTTCATGGGACGTATCACTGTTCTCACGGAACGGCTTGAATGAATGGTTGATTTGATTTAACACATTGCTGCTGCCGCAAGAGACTGTTTTGCTCCCACTTGGGAGGACCTGTCCAGTTTCTTGCTCTAACTCTGCTTATCTGGTGTTACATCTCCTTGTTGATCTGATTCAGACCACTGAGCTGGCAGGGATTGTTTGTTTATAATTTTTGCGGATAAGGTTCCTGGGGTAGTGGGCTGACCAAGGGGGTCAGGCAGGCACAGCTCAGAGGCTGCATAAGCAAGTGTGGAAGTTCCAGAGGTGGGGGGGGAGAGGGCATACAGTTCCTGAAGCGTACAGTTGCAGCCAGCTGTTGAATCACTTGCTTGTCATGTTGACTACGCCATTATCCCTTTGCTAATTTTCAAGCTGCTGTTATTTGAGCAGGGGAAGTATTTTATTTTTTGGTTTCTGTTTCTTCAAAAACGTTTTTTTCAAAATATGCCTTTTCAATGGCATAGGATACTTTGTGTATCTTCTTTGCAATATAGATACAGCAGGCACTGTGACCAGTTCAGAAGGTGACCCAAGCTGTAATTTAACATCCCTAATTCATTGGCTGCTGCTAGTATTTGTTTTTGTAACAGTTACTGTAGAAGAAGCCTGGTTTTGGATGATACACCTACTTTGCAAGCTTGCCCTGTGGAAGAGAGAAAACTTTTGGGCTCTGGTCCTCCGTATTCATGTGGATAAACCAGTCTTTGTGGAACTGAGGTGTGATGCTTGTTGTATAAGAGCTGTAAAATATGTTTGTGTAACCACTCTAAATCCATTAGAATTGTGTAACCTATTTTTGGAGTAACAGCTTAAAATTGTAAGGATATTTCCAGTGGATGTGTGAAACATACTGGTATGAATGATGTGTTTTGAAGTGCCTAGGAATGTTTTGTTTCAAAGGTGATACCTAATATGTATAATCCTAATTTTAAAATATTTTTTATATTGTTTTTAAGAGTATCATCTAAAATTATTGTTTAATATTAACTTAGAATAAAATATTTGCTCACTGTCCTCAGGTTGTTACCTCCAGGTATAACTGGTTTCTCTAAAGACTTGTGTTCTCTGTAGATTTTAGGCTGAGGAACAAGGGGAATTTTAAAATTCACATCCCAGAAAGCTTAGTCTGGTCTGGCAGTTAACAAAATAAATCTTACCTTTTTTAATCTTGCCCTTCTCAGAATGGCTTTTATGTCCATGTGTTGTGTCCGTGTGTACATTTGTGTGCCCCCCCCCCCCTTTTTTTTTTAATTCCTTTATATTGAATTGAAGGTTGGCCAGGAAACTTGGGGTGGGGTGGTGGTGGTGGGGGTGTTTGCAGAATGGTTCTGCTTAGTATTGTTTTACTAGCAAAAATGGAACTTTATTGAGCACTTAATGCAGGTAAATCTAGCACCTTGTTTGAGATGCAAGATCTTCCTATTGTATCTTGATAATAAGATATGGATTGTCTTTGACTTATTATAGGTAAGTACAGCTCAAGTTGGAAACGCCATCTTTGGCACTTCTGACTTACAGAAATTGTATTGCTGTGGTGGGGGATTGGGGACAATATATTAAGAAATAGGTAGCAATTAGTGAAATTATAAGCTGACATAATAAATGAAACATGTGATTCCTAAAGGTATCTTTTGAATTTGTTTTATTCACAGTGAGAAGAGAATTCCATAACAGTGTGTGTGACGAGTATGCTTATAGAAGGCAATTCCTTCAGATCTACTTTTTAACGTCCTAGCAGTGTGGTTCACTGACCTGGGGATCTGATATTTAATGACAACTTTGTTTATCCTTAGGTTCTGGGTCATCTTAAGTGTATTTTGAGAGCATTTGTTTGAAATGCTAGGGATGGAAGTATGGGAATTATGTGTTTTACCTTACTTGCATCTTGTATCAGCTACTGGGCAAAGCCTAATTAAATGTCTCCCAGTAGAAATACTTTAATGCATTAAACAGGGTGGTGACACTAAGCACATACAGCTTTTCACATATGAAAGAATTTTGCTTGAACTACTTCGCTTGTCATGTAGTATATGTCTCTAATTAGAGTGGGTTTGCACATGAGTTCTAGTGGGGTAGCTAATTTAGTTTAAATGGAAATATTGTATAATAGTCGACTGTCTTTGATCCCTGTCAGCTGGTCTGTGTCCAGCTTCTGAGATTCTTGTTGGTTTGCGTGCTCTCTGACTGGATCATAGTTGATCTGTTTTGTAAATTACTTATTTTCCAGTTTTGTCCTCAACACATTTCTAGCAAAAATAGGGGATTTAAAAGAATAGAGAAAAATGAGTTTGTCACTTTTTTGCAACTGAAGCAAACTCAAGTGTTTTATTTTTGGAGCATGGAAGCAAAGTTAACATCTATGCTATTGGTTCTTTCATGAAGTGTCAGAATATTTTATTTTTGGTTTTATTTGCTCTGGTCTTAACAGCTGCTGTATTGTGACCTTTGGTTCGTTATACAAAGGCATGTTTCAACTGTGTAAGTGTATTCCAGTCATTTAGTTTTGCAAGGAAATTAGCGTAAAGGCAAGTACGTGTGTATTAACAAAATTATCTTTTTTAATAACTAGCATTTTTAGTAATTATTTTAGAATGTCACGTAGTACTTAAATTGATTTTCTAATAGATGGAACAGAGGTCTGGATAGTGTGGAAACCATAATGATTCCCAATTTGAAGGAAAAAAGTTATAAACTTTTTTTTTATTTTTTAATATAATTTTGTAGTTAGCTGTAGTTCTACTTTGCTGAGGGTCATCCATGTCTTAAGAAAAATACATATGTAGGATATCTTTCACAGATTTCGCTTACCGTTTCCTCTCAGTGTTGAAAATGACGATGCTGAAAAAGTGTTGAGATGGCTTTTATTTTATAGTTGTGTGATGATTTTATTAAATGAGCAGAACATATGAAGATCTTGGTTGCTACAACTGGAAACCAGAAAGTTTAAAACTTTTTTTTTCCCTTCTAGATTTTCAACTGAATTCTCACCTATCAACACTGGCAAATATTCACAAGATTTACCACACCCTCAATAGGCTGGTAATGACTTGCCATTTTCTCTCAGCAGAATAGCTAGGACTTTAGTCCAGAACATTTTGTGACTGAAATCATTAAGTGATTACACTTGTAAAAATTATGACTGCCTTTTTGTATGAGAGGCTGTGGGCTTTGAATCCATTAAGAGATACGTAGTACTAGTACAAGGTGAAAGATTGTGCTCCGGGGGTCAGAGTGGTATTTAAGCACTGTTCACTGCAGCATTGGATTTCGATGTTGTCTCCATAGAAGAAGCTTTCCTAGATATATCAAATAATGGTAATCATCATCATTATGCAATTTCTTCTGGTTCTTGTGGAAAACATACTAAATGAGCAACCTGTCCTCTTACAACCATGCAAAGAGTGAAACAAGATTATTTTGAAGACTGTCCCTGCTCGTTTGCTGTGCATTTACATTTGTTTTATTGCAACTGTAGCTGAAAATGCTGATATGGCTTCTGTTCATACACTGCAAATTTAGTGGAAAAGACAGTGCCTAAAAACTCATTTCCAAGATTTCAGTTAGTTTTTAATCAGTTTTCTTTAGAACACATGAGTGTGTTTATCCTTAAGCAAAGCCATTTCTGTGGTAAATGGTAAATTCAGTCTTTCTAATGCTGTATTTATTAATGGAATTGTTCAATACAACAATGCAAAATTCCCCATCCAATGGATGGTTATTTCCACTCTTGAAACGTAGTTTGATATATTTTTGATAAAAATCAAAAATATTTTCCAAATTATTTTGATATTATCCTTGAACTTACTAGATAAATCTGCGAGGGTAGCTTTTTAGATGAATATGAACTAAAACCACAAAGGGTCTGCAATCTTAGCTAGATACTGCCTAGGTAATTAAGATGAATATTAATATCAAATAAAGGTTAAAAACATTACTAACAATGAAGATCACCATATTGTTTAACTGTATCATTCCTACTCTTTTGCAGAATCTGACAGAGGACGTTGGTCAAGACGATCACCAGACAGGTATTTAATAGGGATGTAGTAGAAATAGACTGAAACAATTTAAACATGCTTCATCAGAGACGTTTCTCTAACGTCATTGAAAACTATATTTTAGAAAGCTAAAGGAGTTTTAGTAGACAAGTGCCAGGATTTTTTAAAGTTGTCTTCAAATTAGAGGTTCGTGCTTTTGATTTATCCAGTTGTGAAGGACTTGCATAGGTTTCAGCAGTATCTGTCATTTTGCTATTCCTTAGTGTAAGTACTTTAGAAGACTTCATGAACAGTTTCTCTCACTCCTTGGGCTCAACCCATTAGACTAGCAGAATATCCATGTTCTTACAGTGTTTTGACTCTTGAAAGAGCATTAGTGAGAACAGAGCAGAAGCAAGACCTCTCGTGGCTATCGTGATGCCTGTGACCGAGTTTAAATGCTGTCCTCCAAACAACCCAGCTTTTTTCTTGAGTGGTTTTGATGCAGGTCGTTCCTGTTTCTTATGCAGATTTTTAGTCAGTGTCTAAGGGTGATTTATTAGTCCAAATCTTTTCCATTCAATAAAACGCCATCATTTTTCGAGGCCTTCATCTCAGGTGCCTGGTACTAGCTTGCTGCCATTCTTGATTCATCAGGATTTGTGCTTTGTAACTTGGTATCTTGCAACTTTTGTTACCTCCTTTTGCGCTTGTTACTTATGAGCTGACGTCTTCCTTGATTTCTTTTTCTTCCTTCCTTTCTGTGTTTCAGGCATGATACCTAAGGAGGAAGGAAAATAACTTACTGGCTTCAAGCCCTGATCACTCAGCAGAACTGTTTTTTAAAACTGACCATATCTGTCCTACCATCTGTCTCAAAAGTTTTTCTCTATCCTGAGGTGCTGGCTGTGTTTGCTGATGTTACCTTGAGAGCTTAAGTGGAGAGAGCTGTCAGCTCCTCCTGGAGATTTCTGGGACACACTTCTAAATCTAGCACACTCTTAGCCTAGAGCACTGAGAAGAGATACATAGGACTGCATTGTTTGGGATTGGACAGAGCTCACTTCAGGCTTGTCTACCCTCCTCCATACTGTGACAAATGACTTTGTTTCATAGTTGAGCTATCTTACCCTAGCCACAAAAGCCTTCAGTCAAATATTTTCCTTCAGTGTGGTTACTGATTTGATACTTGAAATTAGCTGATCATGTAAATGAAAAACCTCTGCAAAAGAGGTTGAGGCAGGTAGCTCAAGACAGTCAGAGGTTTTATTGTCCATATGTTAGAACTGATTATCTTCTTCCATCTCCTGATGGAGACTTGGAATTTTCCCCTTTCATTCCCCTATGGAATGAAAATATATTCCATGATCTTTGTTTACTTTTGATCACAAAAAGCTGTTGTGAAGCGTTGAGGTAGTCCCCTTCTGTCACAAATCAATCAGTAAGAGTAGGCATGCTTAAGGTATTTGGAATTTGTCTTATCTCTTGCCTAGTACTTCTGTCATAAAGGTCAATATACAAGCTTGGCCTCAGAGCTCTCATAATCTCTATCAGAAGGTGTTTCAGTGTGTTACTGGTTTTGACAAACTACTTTATACTGACACTCACAGTTACCCTATTGCCTGCATTGTGTTGTTTGAATTAAGCTGTTTCAAAAGCTTAAATAAGCCCGTTGAATGAGTTTGGGCACAAAATCCCAATAAAGAGTGTAATTTTTTACAAAAGTTGTAAAAGAACCTTTCAATCCAGGAACAAGTATGAAATGAGAACTGAAAGTAGAGGTTGATACTGGCAGGCTCCTCATCTTCAGATTTAATCCAGTATTTCTTATGCTTCTGCCCTGTTTTATGGCTCCTTGTAGATAAAGATGAAGCCCAAATGTTTGCATAACTTCCAGGCAGATTAATTCAAAATGTGTGCTTGGTTTTCCTCATATGAGGACAAATACACATGCAAGGAGCTATTTTGGCCATTGTGAGTATAGTACAGTGAAGTCTCCTGTGCCCATTTTGTATGGGACTTGACACTTCTGAAACATCTTACTGGAGAGCCTTGTGTAAATCTAAAAAGAATTACTCTTGCAGATGGTTTGCAACGTGCCTAAATTTTTGGAACTTCTATTTTCCAGTATTACTGACTGCATAGTAGGAAGTGTCAAGACCTATTAATTTTGTTACACAATTCATAGAACTGCATAGATGCTGTGAATTCGAGATTCTGTGTCCAGAACTCATTTGAAAGTCATTAATAACTCTGTTGCAAAAGAGTCTTTGACTGTTGCCAAACCCCTCTAAAGATTATTTTTTTAAGTTTTGAGATTATTTATTTATTTATATATTACACTCTGAATCTCCTGGAGCAAGCCTTATCTTTACAGATTACTATTTATTTTCTGACATTTCTAACCTGGTTAATGTTATTACGTTGGTGGCCCTGCTTTTGGGATGACATAATAAATGCATATCTAAATTTGGTTGAGATTTCTAAAAGCTATGTAAAAAACCCAAGTATTTCAATTTTAGGTTAATATTTATAATGAGCTTTTAATGTATATTACATTTATTTCAGAGCACTTGTTTCTGAGCTAACAATGAAGGTAGTGGACATGTAAATTACTTTAAGCAAATTATGTTTTCTAAGTATTAGCCAGATCTCTTTTCTGGAATGAGATCTTAAATATCTAAGAGCTAGAGAGTGGCAGTTTCAAAATTCCTTCAGTGATTTGGGATCTAAGACGGACCTTGCTTCAAAATTCCGGTAACCTATAATGATTACAGTCTCATAAAATGTGTTCACATTCAGTGTGTGTATATATCTGAAAAATAAGGTAGGCTGTAAATGTGTCATGGGCCTTTGCCTTTTCAGCTGTTTGTAGGGGTAAGAAAAGCAGGCATTCAGATTCTGTAAGCAGTTTCTTTTTCTTCTAGAATGTGTATGCATTAGCTTAGAAAACTCTCTCTCTAGAATTTGAAATAATAGTTGGTTTTATGTCATAACTACAAATCTAGCAACTTGTTAATAGCTTGAAGTCATGATTTGGTTATTAAATTGTGACTTCTTTACCTATCCAGACTAAAATGTCTGTAAAAGTACACTTTCTGTTGTCACTTCATTTGTTTAAAAGAATGAGGTAATGTCTTCAACAAAAACAAGGCTTCGTTGCTGTTCTTGAAGGGGGGAAAAATACTTTTGCCTGTACTATTTTTTTGTTGTAGAGAAGAAAACCTCTTGAGTCCAAAGCAATTCTGTAGTGTGGAATTCAAGATGGAGAAGATGATTTTTCCTTTTAGAACAAGATTGCAAGTTGTTTGGTGTTTTGATGAGTATCTTAGTTTTCTCATCGGGTATCTGAAAAATCATGATTGCTAACTGTGCTTGTGGTGGTCTTGTTGCATCATTAAGCGAGCAGCTATATTTTTCCAATTGCTTCAGCATTCACAGTTTATAATTATTTTTCCTTTGAAACATCCCTCTACTCAAGCATCAGAAGACCAGAATTATTCACAGGCATTATCTAGTGAGAAGGTGAAAATTACATGTCTGTAAATCACTTCTGTAGGGACACAGCTTGTAGAGTTCTTATTTATTGACCTCTGTTTTTTCTTTTTTGTTCTGGTTTTGTTGCTATTCTAGGAGTGTGCCTCCCTTGCAGTGATTATCTTGCATGTTGTTTTAAATTTCTTAGGGTGAATTTTAGCTCTTGAGTTTATGTTTCCCTTTGGTAGCTTTGTCTCCTGCAAATTCTCTTCTGCAAAGCTGGAAGTACTGAATAGAACGTTTGGCAAACAACATTTATACTCGGCAGGCTTTTGGCTGATGGTGGCCTATTCAGCAGCCATTTGGAGGCTCTACCTTGCAAATGCTAGCTTCAAGTGTTAAAAAAACAGTGAGAACTAGGAGGGTTCTGCCAATCTTGAGTTGAGACACAGGAGTAAGAAACTTTGAAGATAATCACATCAGAGAAGCTGCATTTGGTAAGTAAAGTTCCTGTCCAACTTTGCATGAAGTCAGAGCGAACTGCATGTTCATTTGCAGATGATCAGACCTTTGAGAAGTGAGATTAGTTGTGAAAGGCTAGGCCTAGAAATTACATTTAGAATTAGAAAGCTCTGTGTAGGAAAGGTTAATACTGATGCTACTTAGTGAGCTATACTGTAAAATAAGAAATTGCAAGAATTTAAACAAAAAAAACCCCCAAACTCTGATAGTTTTTAGCTGTAGATAGAAATAAAAGATAGAAATATTCTGCTGGTTTAACTTTCAGAGTTTGTTCCAGGGAAACTGTAACTGCCCTTCAAATTCAATATACTGATTGTTATAACAAAAGGAAATACTTTAAAAGTAACATTCTTGTACTGTGTTTTTAGTAGTTTAGAGATCATTCAACCGTTAAAACACTGAAGTCTTGGTCTAAACCTCAGTTATTAAGATGTTAAATCTCTGAAAGCATGTACAATATGTTTGTCCACCTGGTGTCTGTGTGTGTGTGTTTGTGTGAGGGGGTTGTACATGTGCATTTAATAGCCATTTACCAATTTCTGAGCTATCTCTTTTCTTCCCTTTTCTGTCAGTTTGAGAGCTGCAACTAGATACATTCAAACCAAGAAAGGGTATAAGTTTTTTTCATGTGAGTCGTTGGAGAAATTGGGTTATGGTTAATTCTATTATTAGTTTAAGCCTTTAAAAGAAGTTCAGTGATCTTCCTAAAAATGTTGGATCACGTAATGAGGAAAGGACTTCAAGCAGGAATTCTTGGGTTAAATTCTTTGGTTTGTATGGGGTTGCAGATCTGACAAAATGATTTTCCTGTTCTATAACTGTTTTATTTTTACTTTTATTTCTTTTTATGTATTTTATTTTCATCTTTTGCTATGCTTCTCTTTTCACAGAGGCCTTGCATATTTATTTTCCTAATCAAATAGCCAGTAAACTGGACAAACCCTGTGGGGGTTGGTGGTTTTTCTTGCATTTGATCAGCATCCAACACCTGTGGCCATCATAAATAGATTATTTTTTTTAATATAGAAAGGCATTTAAAAACTATCAAATAGCTCTCAAAGGAATGAGATAGCTACAGGTTATAGTCAAGTACACACATATTTTCCAAAACAAGGTGTTCATTAGCACACGTTTTCATTTATTAAGTTTAGCGTGTGTCTGAGTCTGTTTGCTGTCTCTAGCCATCTGTTAAGTTCTGCTGTCATTTTAAGTGTTTTTAGTTTGTGTAGATTTTCAAAAAATACTTACTGGCAGAGTCTTTAGAAACTTGATCTAAAAAGCCATAAAGCTTCACACTTTCAGTAACTTATGAGAATACAATTTTGCAGTATCATTAATTTGCAGACATAATCAAATGGAACTAATGACATTCAGCAGATCAGGTTCCTTAGTTTCTTTAATCTGGGTAGTAAAATGCATTGGGCATACTGTGAGTTTTTGATGGTCTCTGGTTTACCTGTTTCAAATATATCTTGATATTGGTGAGAAGATAAGTATTATTGTTAGATTTTTTTTTTTGTGATAGTAGTTTATGGAGTATAATGCTTGGAAGTTTTTTGATAACTAGTTAAATTATAATTTGAATTTACAATACTCTTAAAACTTTCTTTCTAAAAGATAACATAGGTATGGCTGTACTTTCCTGGGAGGATGGCTGGGGTGGGGGAGCTTCAGGGGTTAAAAAAAAAAAAAAAAGGGAATATATAGGAAGAATTTTTGAATTGGAAAGAGTATTTCTTGAACTAGAGAGATTAATTTTCTTCTTAATAGAAATAAATGTAAAGATAAGACCAAAAAGGGCTACTAAGTGCAAAAGCTTTATTAGTTGAAACCAAATTAGCTCATCTTGATGTAAAAACTGGTTTGAAGATCTTGCCTAATACTAGAAAAATTCATATGTTCATATGCATAATAGTTTCAGTGCATGTTTAAAATAAAGTACATGTAGCAAAGCCTGTGGGGCTGTAAGGTTCCTTACATGTGTTTCTCCTATAACAGGAGAGAGGCTTTCAAAGATACGAAGAATAGGTAAGCAAAAGATTGCTGTTAGTGTTTGTTGTGAATTGGGCCTCTGATTTCAGTCTGCTCCCTTGGTGTCAAAAAGTAGCCAAAGTTTTATTGCTTGCTTCTGTGCTGTGATTTAAATTAAAAGATTTTGTCGGCATCTTAATAAAGCATAGCTAAACTTGGATGCTGTTGAAGCTGAGAAAGGTAGCTTAGGCCTGCTGGAGTTCTTCATATATTCTTGCAAGTTTCTTTGGCATCGCTTTGTGTCTGGATTTTTATACCTCACCTCTCTCTCTTCCTTTCCTTTTAAAATTCTCTGCGTAACACTTAGAGCTTTGATAGCTCTTTGAGCGGCTCTTACACACACCTTTCTCAGGTGCCTATGTGGTCTTCAGTATGTGAAAGTAGGACAAAATTTTGCCTGGAGCGTTAGCCTGCTGTTTCATGAGACAGCAAAGGCAATTTAACGACTTGCTGTGGTCAGAAGGGCTGGTCCTGTGCTCTTTCTTGTGCTAATGTATAGAAAGTTGTTATTCTTTTTTTTGCTTGGGTTAATTATCTACAGGTTTGGTGAGCTGGATTGGCCCACTGAAGAGTCACCAGAGACATAGGAGTATGTAGCTGAGAGAAGGGGAGGGAAAGACTGCCACTTGATTGTCATCAGTGTCTTGATTTGGCTGTTTCCTACCTGGGGATCTTCATTCTTTGAGAACTATCCAGTCCAAATGATACAGCCAGCCACTTATTTTTTTTCCCCTACTGGTTGCTGAGTGTCTCTTCCCCCTCCTCACCCCCGCAAAAAAGAAGGAAAACAAAAATCAAAACCAAAGAACAAACAAGCAAAACCTTTCCTACCCCTTGCTCTCTGTATCATGAAAAACTTGGAGCTTAAAAAATAAAAAGGTTCTGTTTTCTAGAGGTAGGTGCTCTAGTTTTTGAGTCACATCTGTATTTCAAAAAGTAACGAACAACTTGTAGAAGTTCTGAATTGAATAAATGGCTAAAAATAAGGATGCCTTTTTGAGGACTTAAATACTTCTTCAGGGTAGTGTCAGTTCTTGTCTTTTGTTAGACTGAAGTAGCATTGGCACTACTGTACATTTTGGTATAGTACTTTTGGCCGTAACTGAAATCTGGGCATAGAACACCATGTAAAAGTGAGATGGATTTTGCTATTGAAAGGAGAACATTTTTTGTGATTTTTTTTTTTTTTTTAAATCCACTAACTTCCTCCCTTCCCTTCTTCGCTTTGTAATATATCTATTAGTGGACACAGTTTGACTGGTCTGCAACAGTTTCATTTCTTGTACTGGTGTTTTTAATTCCCTCTGTAGGAAGTCTCCGGTCTTGCAGTTCATCAGACTGCTTTAGTAAAGTGATGCCTCCAAGGAAAAAGAGGAGACCTGCAGCAGGAGATGATTTATCTGCTAAGAAAAGTAGACATGATGGGTATGTCATCTTACCATGAGCTAAGACTGGTGGAATATCTAAAGTTGAATAGCTGATATGATCATGTTTTTAAATACTAATGGAAATGGTATTCAAATTTGCTTGGTTTCTCAATGTGGAACCATAGCCTGTGATTGAACTGTGGGATATTGATAAGCACACCTAGGTTCAGTTTGCATCTCACCTTTTTCTAGTCGTACAAGAAGTTTGTAGGGAATTTATCCTTGCTCTAGTTTGCCAGCTGTCAAAATAGACATACTTGTTTGTTCAAAAACAACTTCTAAGAGATACAGTAATATCTTCCTGTATACACGCATAAGATTTGGATTGGGCATTCTCAATCTACAGCCTGTCAGAAAAGTGAATGTAGTCATAGCCCACTCAGCTCTTACTTGAAGTCCTGCTAGTCTCTCCCTGTTGCATTGTGATTTGATGCTAATCATGTAAGGGAAAGGTGAAGATTGCACAGGCAAGTGCTAGCCAGTGGTGGAGTGGTGATCACTGCTCAGCTTCCCTCTGGGCAACAGAAGCACAAGTGGGTCGTAGCTGTGTGCATGAGCAGTGTATTCTTTTGGCATAGGTGTTGCATAGCTGAGACTTCTGCAAGTGTTGAATTTGCAGTATGTGTATGTTCAGTCAGCCTCAGTCACTCAGAAACCATTGAATACAGGACTGTCCTGATGTTGAAAAGTGACATACGCAGCCAGTCTGGTTGCCACTGCGTCAATGAGTAGAATGTGAGCTCTATTACATTCATGTACTACCGGTGACTCAGAAAACACATTTCTATAACAAGTATCTTCAGGAAGGTAAAAAGATGCATTTCTCTCCTAACTGTCATCCTGAAATGAGGCTGAGTGCTTTCCTTTTTATTCTCTAGCATGAGTAAGAAAAATGCTGGTGGCCAAATTAAGCCTCTGGTTATGCCTCTATAACTCCATTGTGTTTAATAGGGTTGCACAACTGTAGCTGCACTGGAATTTATTAAATGATCTCTTGATGCAGAAGAAGAAAGAGATTTCAACTCTCTCTTTCATTGCTTTGCGTATGTAACACTAGCAAGAACAAAAAAGCAGGACATGTCCTTAATATTTTTGTTGCTTTTGAGAAATAATAAAATATAAAAGCTAAATAGTTGATAGAGGACATTACAGCTTATTCAAAGATATGCATAAAATATGGAAATGGAACAAGGACAGAATGTTTCTATAATCTAAGTAGAGAGGTTAATGAAATTTAACTCTACCTCCCTTTGCCAAGACACTGATGGTAAAACAAACCCACCCAAATCCCTAGAAAGTAATGTTGTCTGTAAGTAAGAGATACTGACTTGTGTTATTCAAATAAGAAAATTATGATAAACTGATTTCTTACTCTATCAGTAGTATATATATAATAATTTTAAGAGCTTTTGAAAGCATAATTTGGAGGATCTTTTTTTAGTATCTGCCTTTCAGTTTATAACTAATGGATCTAGTCTTCATTCTACTGGCATGTAAAGCTTTATTAAAAGGAAGACCTCAGCCTGCTTTTAGAAGTGGAGGTGAAACCAGATCTGCCAGTTGTGGGCCACAGGGGAATATGCTTCTCTGATGTGGTTCCAATTTTTATCTGTCTTCTTCCTTAACTTCTAAAGGTTTTGGGGCTTTCTCTGCTTCCCAGTGCATAAGTTTGTTTTGGTCTTCAAGAAAACAGTTTTTATTTCAGTGTGACTGGCAGTATGAAATCATTTGCTGGAACATCCAGCTCAGTCTTGGAGCTCTATTTGCTTTCAAGGAAGGATTTCTTCAAATTTGGCTTATGCCCCTGTAACTTTCTGTGAACGAGTTAGGCAAAGAGCAGGCTGTCTCCTACTTCCATGCTTATTTGTCAGGCAGAGCTCATGCCTGTCATGTTTGGTCTTTGGAGGTCAAACATCTCAGTCACACAGAAATCAATCTGAAATCAGGAACCTCTACAGCAGTGTGTAGCAGACCTAGTTATTTGCATTTTCTCTATATTGTACGCAGAGAATGCTGTATACAATAAAACCAGTATGGATAGTGCAATGCCAGTTCATGGAATAAGGGGCTTCTAGGCCCAGTTCTTTACCATTGCTTCTGTTTTAGAGGCAGACTTCCTAGAAGCTGCATACTAGCATCTCAGGATAAGCCTTCAAGGGACATTAGCCTGTGTGGATTCTGTATCGAGCAAAAAAAAGGTAGTCAGTGTTCTTGAATGTCTGCTTTCAATGAAAAAATACGTGTGATCTCCAGAAGAGACTATATTTCCTAACAGAGATGATTTGTTGCTTCAAATGCTTTTGGAATTATGGAAGTTCTGTATGTTTCTCACTTACAGTGGCAAACTTATAAGGGCAACATTAACAAATAAATTCCATAATTGTGACTCGCCTGTTTGCTTTCATTTCAGAAATGTTAGGTAGTGGCCTGAAGATTATCAAAGGAGTTTCATCATTAATGGTGTTACCAGAGCTGAGACCAAATGTTGGTGATTCCTCCTGGTTTGTCCATGCAAAGGAATTGGTTTTTTTTTTAATCCTTACATGCATAATTTTGTTGGGTGATATTTTCAGTCTTCACTATTTGTGGTGTGTTCCTGTAATCTCTTCAATTATAACAGTAGTGGTTTTGAGATATGTACTCTTTCCAGAAAGTTTATTTCAGCAAGGCTCTGTGCTGAAAGAGAAGATGATTTCTAAAGGCTTTTAAACTCATAAACTTAAACACATCTGATACCAGGGAGCTTGTAATAGCCTTCACCCTCAGTTCGAGGGTGGTAGGGATAGAGCCTTACCTGGGAAGGATTAGTGGAATAATGACACTGGCTGTTGAGGAAAAGCATTTATAGGAATAAATCTAGTTGTTAGTGAAGTTATTTGGAAATGCTGATCTTATGCATAGACTGATTATGGAAAACAAAGATTCCAAACATGTTTTTTAGCATCCCACCCTTATATAATAAGAGCTTGAATTCTGTTAATTAATGTTCATAATGTCACCTTGAACCATGAATGTAGTGTTTCAGTGGGAGGCAATTTTTATACCAGATGATGTACAATGAAAAGAACTCGCTGTATTCATTTCTGGATCACAGTAAGATTTATCTTGTCTTAAAGAATAGCTATTGGAAGTAAACAGTTTAGCACACACCAGAACATTTCTGTTTTCCTCTCAGTATGACAGTCTTGACTTTATTGTACTTATAACTCTCACAGTATAGGGTATTCTCAAATTGGAGTTAAAAATACATTTTCTGTACATTGCTCTTCCATCTCTGTGTTAAGTGTCTTAGGAAGGGTAGAGCAAGTTTCATGTAAAGATACTTGCTGAGTAAGAATATAATCCTCACTGTATAATTATCTAATGCTGTGTATCTGTTACACAATCTCTAGCCAAATAGTGGCTTTTTCCTTGGGGAAAAATGAGTTGTATAACATCATATCTTCTCTTTTTTTCTGATAGTCTCATTTAAAAAATAATTCTGCTCCTTATTCCAGAATCATGCCAAGGGCAAAAATTTTACAGGAATGGATATTTGGAACCTTAGAAGGATGAAAACTAGGAATATTTATCTGCTTCCCTGGAAGTTATGTTTTCAAGCAATTAGATCTAGAGTCTAATTGATCCTGGATGTGTGTATGGACCACAGAAGCGCCTATTAACATGAAAAATAGGTTTTCTTTATTGAGTAATAAGCTCCATACTCTATAGTAGCAAAACTTAAGTTTTGAAAACACAGTCAACACGCTGTTGTTATCATGGGAAAATAAAATGGGAGTGTACTAACCTTGGAAGTTTTCAAATCCTTCTGTGTTGAGAGTTTTTTGGTTCCCTTGTTGTTTAATAACTGGTTTGGTCCTGCTCCATGCAGACAGCCTGTGTTAGCAACTGTCATAGGTGCCTAGACTTTATTCCTTGAAGTAGAGATTAAGTACGCACATAATTTTCCCTGTTTCTACACCTTTTCAGTGAACTTGACTTAATAGTTCTCAAGAAATTTAAACTGGACATGTGACTCAGCATGCATGCTGTTATACATACTGCTCCTTAAGTATGCCTGATGAAGGTCAAAACATTAATTTAAAAGTTTAGAGATGATTGCAAGTCTTTAAATAGGGAGAGATAAGACATACTCATTCATAAAACTACCAGTCAAGTAAATTTGTCCTTAGGGTTGCTTTAGACAGTCTTTGTCATACCTTGCAAATTGTAAAACATCTCTCTTCCCCTCCCCTTATTTCTGCTACATTATTTATGAAACTATTGCTAAAATCATTATTGTGAATGAATAGGTAAGGCTTTATAAAAATCTTTGATTGTGCTGCACTGATGAGAATTCTCAGTGAAAATTTTAAATTAATTAACTATAATTAATGGAAGTAGTAGGAGGCATCTTCAATCAAAAGTTTGCATCTTTCAAAATATAAATAATCTGAAAGCTATTAGTTACTCAGTTGGTCATACAAAATGAGGTAGAGGTTTTGAGTAAGGTCTGGCTGCGTATAAACAAAGTTGCTGTTGGTATATTTCTTCATGTAATCATTCAGTAAACACTGACCATCTGAAATGAGCAGGCTGTAAATCTTCATGAGGGGTTAACTTTTGACTTACCATAATAAACCATACTTTTTTTTTTTTTCTTTTCCCTTGAATGAGCTGTTACCAGCTTCTGCAATCAAGAGAATGTTTTGTGTGACCTAAGCTCCATGCTTTCACTGATCTCAGTTTGAATATTCTGGAGCCATAGAGCCCAGAGTTGCTGCTGTGGTTGGTGGAGCTCTCACAAATTTCAGTGTAGTTGAAGCATGCTCAGAGCAGGACTGGATACCCAGCTTTGAAGACTGCAGTTGATTGAAGAGAATTACTGTGACTGTTCTTTTTGCTGGCAGTGATCATGTACTCTTACAATGACTTGCCTAGTCACCCCATAATAGCTGGATGGAATTTTCATGCTTTTGCTTTCCCACCAAATCAGTTATGAATGGAGGAAAATAATCTGTGAAAGATATGGGTGATCATGTATTTAAAGAAACATGAAAGGCCTAGACAGTTTTTTTAATTAGTTTGTTTACATCTACCTATAGCACTTCCAATTACAAACTGCGTTTTCTTATCTTTATTGCAGGGATATTACAATTCCCTAGCTCATAAGAGTGTTTCAAAGATAAGTTTAAAAATTGATGTTATGAGTCAGCTATTAGGTCATGATGGATATGCAAGCATATATGAGAAAATACCTTCATTTAAATGCAGTTAAGTAGTTGATACGACTTTTATAAAATTTAGGCAGGTTATCTCATGTTGCTTTTCCCCTGCCTTGTCTCACATTTGTTCTTCTCTCTAGTTGGTAAAGGGGCTGTTAGAGATAATAAAAAAAGGTAAATGCTCCTTAAGGGGGTATTAGTTATAATATAAAGAAGCATTTTTTGAAGTTTACAGTTACTGTCATGACACTGACAGTGTCATGCTAAACTAAGAAAAACTTATTTTTTTCAAGTGAAGATTTTTCTGAGTCATTGTACCTGCAAGTGTGTCTCATCTGAGAGACAAATATATACGCTTTGCCCATAGGTAATTTTTTACTTCCTTGCTGTTCCTGATGGCCAGCATGTCAGGGTTCAGAAATGGAAAGGTTATTCTAAATGCAAAGGTTTGGAGTTTGCTGTTGTCCAGTAGCGATGGGTATAGCAAACCCTCTGTGGAAAAGTTCTGCACACACCTTTCTAGCTCTGATGATGGAGAAAACACTCTCTAGCAATCCTGTGCCAGTGGTACAAATGCTGGTACCAAAAGTACCAGGTATACTCATCGGCCCTTCCTTTATGGAAAGTGTCTGTGGGGTTTTTACTGGTTTTACCACCACCACCACCACTTTTTTTTTTTTCTCCTCCAGACTCTGAGCAGGATGTTCTTTCACTTTTGGTGTGTGACTGCAGGTTTCTCTTGCGGACCATCAATCCTTAAGCTAATTACCAAACTGTAACATGGTCAGCATAATGGTTGTGCATCTATTTGAAGGTACTGGTCATCTTGAGGAAGCTGTGAGCCATGGAGGACTTGGTGTTTGAGACTCGGATCTGTTCAGTAGATGTTTGCTGCCTCCAAAGTATTCCAGATATCTACCCTGTATTTGTCTACGTAGCCAGAGACATTGTCCTTAGCGTAAAGACAAGGCACACCATCTTGCAGTATGTACAGAGAATTTCCAAAGATAGGAGGAATATTCAAAGATACAAAATGGTTGCCAGACATCGCTGGCAGTTTGTATTTTTCTTCTCTGCACATATGATACTTGAGACAATCCAGTCTGTGTTCAGGGTAGTTCAGAAAACAGAGTCTTTGGAATCACCTTTACCCTGTGCTCCCAGGTTGGGTTTGCTGTGATAATTGAACTGAGTTGTTGTAGGCTGTAATCTCAGATACTTGTCTACTTGCTTGTATCGCCCAGCTCACCTCGCCTCACCAAGCACTTGAGGGAGTAGGAGTCTCTTGCTAATAGAACTAGCTGGTTTGGCTAGACTGGGGGGAGAAACTCATCTAGTGTTTGGACTAAGCAGGGAGAGTACAGGCTTCATCTTTATGCATGAGAGATCACTAGTACCACGACTGCATTGGTGTTAATTGTTTCTGTCATATTGCTTTTCAAGTGGTCCTTGTCTTGCAGAGTATGTGATCTGCTATTAGTTCCTCTAGGTTGAGAGAAAGGCATCTGGGATTCGTCCAGTCATTTTTATTGCATGGTTTTATACTTCTGGGCATGCATAGTCTGTTTTCATTACAGATGTGATATGGTGTCACCTGCACTTTTTGTGAATGTCTGGCTAATTAGCTTGTAGGAGAGACTAGGATAGCTCAAGATTATACCCTTTCTGATTTTATTTTTTGTGAATTTATGAAATAATTTCTCTTACTGGCACAGGTTGGAAGATCTGTAATCGGTTCTGGTTTCTCAAAAATCAAACTGCAGTGGTCAGATATTGAGCTTTTTGAACAATGATAAGTTTGATGCCAGAGCATTTTGCTTGGAGTTATTTGGCCGTATGTTGGGCACATGGCCTTACTAATGAATATTGTTGTTTCATACAGTTTCTAAACAATGACCTTAGCCTTAAGCACAGCAAATGACTTTCAGTCCCATATTAGTCCTATAAAAACTTACTATGTGTAGATGCAGTGAATGTATAAAAAGGGCTTTTTTTTTTTTTCTGGTTCACCATTCCTCTTACACATGCTGCTGTCATTGATGTCTCCGTTCAGGCTACAGTATTCAGCTCTGCCACTCGCAGATGCAGGAATTCTTTTTCTGAAATAGCTGGATGACCTGGAGCTCTGTCAATAAATTTGTTTCTTGAGGGTTCCTTCCCAAATCCAGTGTTCACATACTGACAGCTAATGTGTTGATGAGTTATGTGAACAAGCAGGGTGAGGCACTTGGTTATCATCCCTTCGTAAGAAAAAACATTGAGTCTTGAGAGGAATGTCTGTCTTTGGGAACCACATTTAGCTTTGGGTGTCTTAAGTCCCAGCAGTGCTCTTTCAGGCTTCTTGAATAAGTAGACTAGAATAAAGATGTTGACTAGCTCCTGCTACAATCAATTTTCAACTTGGTATTCCAGTTGGTGTTTGTCACGTTTGTTTGCTACAAGAAAGGGGATACTGAATAATTAGGCTTCTGCCAAAGTGGCAGAATGCCTTCTTTCTTTGTCTCAAGACATTTCTTTTTATTCCTTTGAATTCAGAACAGCCTAAAAAATATCGGATAGCTCTTTCATAATCACCGTTCATTTTGCAAATATGAGAATGTTAAGTTATCAGACCTGTTTTTAAAACAAAGATAAAATTGTTCCAACTGACTTATACTTTCTGGCTTAGTTGTTTACTTCCTGGGCAGTGCTGTCAGCCTGTTCCTTTGCAATTGCAGTAAAGCTTATGGAAAGTAGGTAATTCAAATAGAAAAAAACGTTTTCAAAATGAAAATGAAAAAAACCCCAAACCCTACAAATTGTGGGTATATGAATATATGTGTTTGAGACATGTATGGCTGGCATTTTTCTGCAGTGTTTCAGTTTGTTGCAGATCAGTGTGTTTCAGTACAGTGTTAATTTTTCTTTCCATCTTGAAATTTCTTAAGAGCCTCATTTGTATTTGTCTTCCACTTAGCAATTTATCATTTTGTTCTGACTAGTAGTATTTTTCTCATGGTTAGTTGCTTCAAAGGAACTATGGCAGTAAGTTAGGTGGAGGATAGCAGAATCAGTGTACTCTAAGCTCATAAGCATAGACATCTTTTACGTGTCTTTCTAGAAGGACAAAATGGTGATGAAATCAACTCCAAATTAATTTCATCATGTTGTTTCAGAATTCTCCTTGAACCAATTATCCATTTTGTTGTCCTTCCCCAGCAGGGTTTGACACTGTAAGAGGAAGGACTGGATGCTTGGAACACATACAGAGCTGTTCTTGGCTACCTCCTTGAGTCTAAGCCATTTGTTCCTCCACTCTTTTCAGCCTTTATGAGCCCGAGCTACTGCAGAGTGGTGGAAATGGATCAGAGAGTGCATATGCAGCAGCAAACAACTACTTGGGCTGCTGAGTCTCTTTCCTCTAACAGACACAAGTGATATTGTCTCTGTTTCAGAAAAGTCTAAACAAGGTGGAGTAACTCATCAACTTCTGCTATGTCTTCCATGGTTTAGGTGATTCAGATGCTAAATTCAGGAGACTGGTACTTCAGTGTTGTTTCCTGAATGTAGTTAAAATTCCTTATGCTTGTAGGCGAAGGAGAGCATTACCTTGCCGGTCATCTCTGGGAGAAGGAGTGCTATGGAACTGTCTTTTCAGATAACTGTTTATGCCGTGATGAATAGCTTCCTTGAGTTATTGTCAGTGAGCACATGTAACTTGTTCTCTGTGGTTCTTTTGTGTTACCAACTTACTAGCTTTAGAATGATGTAAATGTGCATCATGTCTGTTTTGGCCTTTATGCCTTGTATAGGATTTTTTTGAGGAGGCAACAATAGTATGTGCAGTTCTCCTTAGTTAATAATTCAAAGTGCGTGAAGTATGCGTGTGCGTACAGGTAGCACGTGTTGACTGTGACATGGAATTACTCTGGGTGTAGACTCACAGCCAGGTTGCAGCCCATCAGTTGATTGTGGTAACTAACGGTGTGCACAAGTCTTACTTGAACTTACACAGAGCAGTTTGGGGTTGAATTTGAACTAGTCTATATTTGTCATAAGGAATGTTTATGTACATAGGTAACAATTATGAATCAGTTGGAGTGTGACCGACTGAGCAAACACAGTATTTAGGTTCAGTGTTTCTTACTCTGTTAAGCAGTGTCCCAAATGTCTGGATGTGAGGACAGAATGTTGGATAAACTGGTTCATGAAAGGAAAAATATTGCTGCTTACAGTGGCTGTTGACTAAAAGATTACTTTTAAAAATTGAGAATTAACTACTTGTTTCTCTTTCTTTTTTTAAGTATGTATAGAAAATATGATTCAACTAGAATAAAAGCAGAGGAAGAAGTATTTTCAAGTAAGAGATGCTTAGAATGGTTCTATGAATACGCAGGTAAGGGTGAAATGCGAATTTCCTCCTAATAACAATTTAATCTACAATGCAATATAAAAATTGAGAATAGAGAAGGTATGTAACTTAAAATATTTTGGAACATGTATACTTTACTATTCAAAAGTAAAAGTATAGTTAACGATGTACTTCTGTCCAAAATGTTGTTACGTCTCTGGCTTTAGAAGTTCTGTCATCTCTCATGGTAGTGCTGAATAGTACAGAATTATGCTTCAGGAGAAGTGTGTCTTTAATTAAAAAAAAAAAAAAAAGTACGAGAGGTTATAACATTAGTTTTGTTCTGCTGAATCTGGTGCTTATGGTTTCAAGCAAAGAAGTCAATAAATTCAAGTATCCCATGCTAGTCTTGTCTTTACGTAGTTTTCCATCACAAGGTATAGCAAAGGTAGACTAAATTATTTTTCTTGCCCTTGTGTATGAGAACTTTCTTCAGGCATTACTTCTAGGATAGTCAGTTTTGATCTGCTGTCACAAAATAGCCTTTAATAGTGAAGTTGATAATTGTATTCATTTTTTCACATGTGGTTTTCTGAAGAGGAGAACTTGCAGTATGGAGAAAAATGATCTCCTGACTGTAAAGACCAAAAGGAAATTAAATAGGTGATTGACAAAGAAAATAAGATCATCTTCCAGTTTTCTGATGCTGTCTTGGATAACGTTGCTCACAGTTTGTTCTGTTTTGTCTACTTCTTACACATAATGAAGAGTGACTTAATTTGATGTAATAAATTTATTACATCTTCTAATAAAATTATATAAACTAAATTAAGTACTTTGAGATCTCACTTGTCTGCGGCAGTCTGTGAGAGGAGATTCAGACAAATTCAAACCAAATCTAACCTGTTAGATTCTCTGCCTTTCTGACCAGCTTGATTTATTTTTTTACTCTAGCAACAGGGATAACTCATTTTTGCAAAGACTTTCATGGCAAGAAGGAGTGAAAGGAAGGCTGTATATGAAAAACTTTTGGGTTTCCATTGGATGCATACACCAAGATAAAACAGACAAAAGCGGAGAGTATGATTCTGTTTACAGTATTGAGTAACATTCTAAAAAATTAATTTTCAAAGAATAATCTCTTTTGTGTTCTTGCTTCATAAGTCTCCTTTATATAGGCAGACAGTTGACACTGCATTTGTGGGGTTTTTTTTCCCTAGTGTGTCTTTACAGAATGAGTCTTTTTAAAGACTGTTGTGTACACTCAGAGAACTGTGAGATGTCATGAGAAGATGGCAAAAGATATAATTAAACGTTGTTATTTCTAGAATACTAGGTCACCTAATAATAAAACGTAGAATGATCTTCCCTTTGTAAAACCTATTTTTCTTGCAGAGGTGATCTTTATATTGGATGAAAGTAGGCATTTCAGCCTCTAATTAGTTTTTTTCCTCAAATGAGCTCTTTTAAACATGAGTAAAATAATTCTAACAAGTCCGAATACTTAAACAAAAATAGAATTTCACAGTACAATTCTTAATGCCTATATAACTTTTTTCAATAGAGTATTGTAAAAGTTAAAAGTATCTTGATTTAACAGCATGTTTTGATAGTAGTGGTTTCTAATAGCATCTGTCTTTTGAGTCTTTTTTCCTTTTAAGTCAGCAAAGAAATAACTGTAATTCATTTCTTCCTTCCCCCTGCAGTTACTAGAATTCAAATAATGTGTGGCTGTGGTACAGCAATATGAGTAAACAGGAATATGAGATTTTTATTCTAGGCTCTTTTTTGCAAATGACATTATATAAAGATAGTATGTGAGACAATAAGGTATGACATTCTGGGAATGATAATGTTTTGTATTCTGTAGAGCTATGCATCATGCTTTTAGGTGATATCTTAGGATAACAGTAGAGATTCAAGCCAAGATATGAGTTTCACTAACCATTGTCAACTCATTTAACCATAGTGATATTTACGTGGGTGTTCTGCTAGACTTAAGTGCATTCTTAAAGATCTTACTAATTTACTCTTCCAAGATTCTCTCAGTAAATGGGTAGAATAAAAGATGTTGTCAGGATTGAAAAGTTGTTTTACAGTTTTTCTGTCTCTGTTTCCAAAGGTGAGATAAAAGATTTAAGTGTATCCAAGTCTGATAGTACATGTGGAAATATTTATTGCATGTCAAAACAAACAAAAAAACCCCCGTATGGAAATTCAGGTTGTACTGCATGATTGCGTTTCTCTTGTGCTGTAAAGGTCAGACTGTTTTCATTTTCAGAGATAAGTAAAATACATTTTGTTTGCAGGCACTGATGACATTGTCGGGCCAGAAGGTATGGAGAAATTTTGTGAAGACATTGGAGTTGAACCAGAAAATGTAAGTTCAAGGTCCATTGAAAAGATGTCTAATCTGTTATGATGTACATGAACCAGTCTCATACCTCTTATTTTTCCATCAAGAGTTAAGAAATTCCTGAGTTTTTAAAAAAATTAAAGAAATATAAACCAAGGAGGCTTATATACACATTTGGAAAGAGCTTGCCTTTATTTTAACCCCCAAACTGTTAACTTGTAAAAACTCAGTTTGTCTTTGCTGCCACCCCTTCTTTTTCACTATCCCGCCCTGCCAAAAAAATTAAAAAAAAAAAAAAAGTTGATGGTTGTCTCTTCTGAAACAATGGAACAACCCTGGAGATTTAATATAGCAACTACAAAGTAATGTTTTCTTTGGGTTTTCTAGGAGAGAAGGGGATTCCAAATATTGTGAGCAATATTAGTGCTCCCATTATGCCATTTCAAAACACAAGTAATGATTATATATGATTAGATATAGGTATTTTAGATGTGTATATATATAATTAAATAAAATTTAAAAAGGAGTAGTTGTGCCTTTTACAGGCTTTTTCCTGGTGCCTCCTTCATGCTCTTTAAATGTATATGCAAGTCCCATCTTTTGCAGGATTCCTAAAGCATTGTCTCTAAGTAAAATAAGAATTGTGGTTTTGAAAGATTTACGTATTATTTGCTAATTTTGGAATTTATTACTATCCTAACCCCTTGAGATTGATGCAGACATTTGGGTAATATAAGTAGGTATTCTGATTTTTGCATTAAAAACCATGCAGACCTGCACTAACATTAGCTAGTTAATGGCGGAGTTGCAAATTTAAATGACTTGATTATTTTTTTTCTAGTCTGCAGGGTCAGTTGTCCTGCAAGTTTTTTGCATGTATATATCAAAAGTGATTTCTTAAGTTCCTGTATAAGATAGTAATCTTATGGTATCTATGTAAATCCTTTATTGCTTTAGTCTTCTGTGTGTGATATGGAAAGGACTGTGTTTCCTTTTGGGCAAAGCAGAAGTATTTATGTATCGGCCTCTGTTCTGATGTGTTTTAATGTTAGTTGACCTAGCTTTACTTAACATCTATTTGAATTACACTGTGTGTTCAGATCTGCAAAATTAGGTAGGCTGATGGTACGCTGGAGTAGCTGGGTTCAGGTGGGATCATGGTTAGCTTTAAAATAATTGATTTTCACAGAGCTCATGGATTGCAACTGATGTTCATCTAGATGAGAGTTTAACAAATGTCAAATGTAACTTGTTGTCAGATTGGTACTTGTATTTGTTTTGGGAAACATTTTCTGTAGCTTTTGTGCCAACTCATTTTCATCATAGCACTGCTCACTAGACAACTGTGCGTGTTCCCTTGAAGTATGGTGGCTACTGGTAACTTGGATGGATGTTCACACTGTATCTTTGCATTCTTATCTTCTCTTTGATTGGCTTTCAGGTTTTTTGACTTTGAAAATAGTATAGCATTTCTATTAGTAAAGCATTTGTAGCCCACTAATCAGTAGTAATTTGAAAAATGTGTGGATCTGTTTTAATTCTTTTCAGTCTCTTTTTTTTTCCCCTCTTTAAAACAGGTAGTTATGCTTGTACTAGCATGGAAGTTGGATGCACAAAACATGGGCTACTTTACATTACAAGAATGGTTAAAAGGAATGACATCACTACAGTAAGTGACAGTTACAATAAACCCAGTTTTTTAGAAAAACACACTTTCATGTTTTGATTTGTAACACCTAAAGCAGAGAGATGTACTGTGGAGTAGAAGCCATACTTTTTTGATCCTATTTATGGTGATATGGTCACTTAGAGACAACTTGAAACCTCACAGCTGCATGTTTAAATACAGTTGGGTTAAAATGTCTGCAGTCTCAAGAAAACAGAAATGTTCTGTCCCCAAGGACATCTGTCTTCGTCACTGTCTATTAGATATTGCTATGTTGTTAGAGCACGTGTAGTTTGAAACACTAAATAATACAAACCCTTTCTGTGACTCTGTATTGTCATGTTCTTAGAGTTGCTTTCTCCAGTTGAGAGCTTATCTTCATGGCATAACTAACATAAATGTAGTTGAATAATCACATGTTTTATAGACAATTGTAGAAAGAACTGTCTTTTGAACTTACCTTGCAGAACAGAATCACTAAAACTGTGTAGGGAGTTCTATAGTTTCAGCAAAACTGCAGAAGTATTGTTTCACTGCTGTGGTTTGCTGGTTGTTTGCCATTTGGAGACAGGTTCTTTAGTTTAATCTGTTGGAGAGTGCACTTTCTACAAAGCCAAACAAATTTTTATCAGAGTACCAGTGTAAAACTTCGCTATCTAAATCCGTTTCACACTGTGGATTTAATCGAGGCATCTTATGCAGACAAACTCATAAACACGCCTTTGTGCAGAGTGATGTATTTTGAAGAGAGTGATGGGGATACATGTTAGAGATTCTTTTCTAAAACAACAGACATCTGTATAAGAATGCAGACTCTAAATTCACTTTGTGCTCTTCTTGTAGATGTGATACTACAGAAAAATTGAGAAATTCTCTGGATTACTTGAGATCTTTATTAAATGAGCCTACCAATTTTAAACTTATTTATAGATATGCATTTGACTTTGCACGGGTAAGTACTGTGGAAGACCAGCATCTGAAATTAAAACTTTACTTTCATAAGTAATAATTGAAAGACTGTACACTTCTAAGTATGTTTCTCTTAAGATGCCACTCAAGGTTGCTTCTCACAAATGGAACTGTTCAAGTTCTAAAAAAGTATATGCAAAATGCCAGAACTGGAGAAGTATATACAATGCTCGATGTTCAGTGGTTTAGTGTTTTGACATGTTTTGTTACCTCTCTGCTTCAAGCTATTGTGTGACTTCAAGGAAATCATTTAGTCCCCATTCTGTTGCATATTGGAGCTTTGCCACTTACTTCCACTGGCTTTATAAGTACCCTGTTTGAATTTTGTGAGCATAAACATATTTAAAACAGGAAGGCACTTCAGGCATTTCTGCAGGTGGTAAACATAACTAACATAATGATAAAAACGAGATGTGATATAATGTAAATACTGGTTCAGAAGACTGTTGGGAAGGTCATTGATGATGTTCTCAGTATTTATTAAACAATATCCTGATATCAGTCTTCCCACCATAAAATAGGTATTGATGAAATTGTACCTGGTATTGGAACCCATAATATGCATAAGACTATTCCTACTTAAAGGGAGCAATAAAAGAACTTTAATTTTCTGAATTAACATTTTTTACATGGAATTTGGATATCCATCTTGCTAATGTGATGGAATGTGCAGAAGATTTAACATAAAAATGATCACAGGCACAACTGAAGCTCAGGTTTCAGTGCAGGAGAACCAAAAGCACCAAGAAAATTTGCAGCAAAAAATGTAATATGAGAAAAATAATAAGAAATTGAACTGATAGCAATTTTGATAGTTAAGTCTGTCAGAAGTAACTCAGATTTGTGGTACATCAGTGCTTCCTGCACGTCAGCATGCAGAGATTCAGGGTAGTTGACTTTTCACCAAGGAAACCTACAGCTGAATATGACAGAATGCGTGGTACTATGAGAGGAAAAATAGCCATATCAACATCTTCGTTCCTCCTTTGCCGTGTGAAGATTTATTCTGCCAATTTTGCTCAATGTAAAATGCAAAGGCTAGAAATAACTAGTGTTGCCAAAGAAGTTCAAGATACTGATGAAATATTTGGAATATATTAAAAAATGTTTTACTAGTAGCAAATCTGCACTAGCCGATGGCCTGCCAAAAGTAAGTAAAGAAAATTAAGAGGAGGATAGTGGGTGGAGTTTTTTTTTCAAGAGGTACCAAATTGCTGTGACAAACAGTGGTCTTGAAAAAGAATTTAAACATTTAAACAGATGCTGTGACATCATTTGTGACAAAACCCTCCAGATTGTAAAACTGGAACTCAAAGGCATATCAACAGGGAGATTGTCCGAACAATATTAGATTAATAGAATTATTGAACTTTTAATACTGTGGAGCCAGGGGAAGTCTATAGGAGAATGGCATCCAGTAAGAATAGAAGTGAATGCTGCCAAAGGCTGTTATGTTTGTCTAGACACAGCAGATGAATCTGTACATAATTTTTATCAGAATAATTGAAGTGATTGATAGAAAAAAGCTGATGGGAGCAGTTTTGGGTTTTGATTCAGAAGATTGTGTTATTTCCATCCTAAGGGTAATCATTTCGAGGAAGTGCTCCTTAGCAAAAAACCAACTGTCTGAACTTCTGAAGATTTAAGAGAGGATTTTTGAAAGCGTCTGTTGTGATTTGGTATTTAGAGTTAGTTTGTCAATAAAAATAAGTATCATTGAGGCTTTATGCAGCATGCACGATTTAAGTCAGCATGGATTTGAGGAAATAATTTAAAACACCATATGTTGGTATTAAGCACAAATACATGCCTTGCTGCTTGTTTGCCATTGTCATTGCCAAGTTTGAGAACATACAGATGCACATATTTCATGCCTTAAATAGGTCTTTTATCTGAAACATTGGGGGGGGGGGGAATCTCAGAAAGGCTGTCTATCATCAACGTAAAGCAAATACTGAAATTTATCAGAGTTCATCAAGATATTCTTTCCACTGTATCCAAGAAAGAGAATGTAAGTATCTGGAACGTATGTTAAGAATAAAATTGGAGCATCTGTCTTGGCAGATGTGCCATTAGGCAGTTGGAGGTGGATTTAAAGGGCTAATCTGAACAACTTGTTCTGAACAGTAGTCGGAGAGGGAGAATGTAGAAACTTAACAATGTAAGGCATGTAAAAACAGCAAGGCCAAAGTAAAGGCAACAGAGCCTGATTTCATTAACACTTGAGTGTGTGGGAGGAATTCAGAGTATGAACAAAAGGAAAATAAAATGTATTCTCGTTAATTGAAAAGCATTGTTCGTCCTGGAATTTGCTTTTTTCCTCTAGAACAGATTGAGTGAAGTCCCTCTCGTATTTGGTGACCAGAATGTAAAACAGCTGTTGAAGTTTTCAGAGTTGCTGGCATCCCCACTTTCCTTCCAAAACAAATCTACATTAAATTCTGTTTGCACAATTTTAGAATTGAGGTGTATTTTGTATGAAATCGTTTTCAAGAAGAGAGGATAACCTTGTGGCTAAAGCATTCAGTTGTTGGCTGAGAACTGGGATCTCTCTCTACTGCATCCTTCCTACATGACAGAAGACAAGTCAGTTATGTTTTGAGCTTGTTTTTTGAATAAAGATGTGTATTCTGTAATACATAGAACTGCACTTTTACAGGTGAGGCATAGGGTTCAATCCCTTTTGTCTTGGGTAGCTGTCTCACACTGTTCTGTTAGGCACTCCCTGTATCCTATATCCCTGAGTTTTCTTAATTTAGACTTTGCAGTCTGCAGTCGTGAGTACGTATAGAGAGATCAAGGTCTACAGTAGCTGATATAGAACGTTATTTTTTGTGATTTCATTAATTTCTGAATTTGTAGCTTAATGCTATAACTAAGACATAAAAGGGTGGGGTTTTACATCCCATCTCTCACCAAAATTTGTTTAATTTCAAGACAACAACTGCAGTTGGATAAACTACTTAAAATAACAAAATGGAATCTTACATGTACACGTGTTACTTTTGAGATGTGCAGTAGTTATGTTATCTAATATATTAACTTTCCCACTGATTAGGTATAATGAATCCGCTAGGTACAGATGACGCTTCTTTTTCTTAGCAGAAACAAAAAAATCATCCCCTAAGCCTGTATATATAAAACAGCTACAGTGAACGAAAACTGGGACAGTTCTGAGGGGGGTCTCCATGTGCTAGTGTATTATGTTCCCTCTGCTCATTTGATAATTAATTTAATCTGAATTTCATGTAATCAGTAGAACAACAGAACAAAGAACCTCCTTGGCTCACTCTTGCATAGCCAGTGTTACTTGATAGCTACTTAACTGTCTACTGACAGTTCGTGTAGTTGTAATAATACCGCAGGAAATTCGTGCAGCGATACTACTTTAAGAGACATATGGCTATGCAGAGACATATGTGCAAACATAGGTATGGATCTAATGGCTATTGCTTTCTACAATGGTCTGAAGTCACAAACAGGAGCGTATGCCTCATCTGCAATAACTGTGACAGTTTTTTGAGAAAGTCGATAGAAAGCAGCATCTCCGTATAGCAAGCGATTAGCCACAAGGAAGGAAATTTTACTAGGAAGTTGTGTTTTAGTAAAAACCACTGTTAGATACTGCTATTTATTTTTGATTTGTTAAATTATTTTATGTATGGGTGAGTTGTACTACAGGGAGTTGGGGAAGTGAAAAACCCTGAAGTCATACTCTTTTTTTTCCTTTTTGACTTTTTCCTTTTTATGCAGGAAAAGGACCAGCGCAGCCTAGATATCAATACTGCCAAGTGTATGTTGGGCCTTCTTTTAGGAAAAACATGGTCCCTTTTTCCAGTATTTCACCAGTTTCTAGAGGTATGAAGTTTGAAACAGAATTACATTTTTTGATGTGTTTTCTCTGATACTTTAACAAGAGGTAGAATGAACAGCTAAGATTTTTTTTGTTCCGATTTAGAATATACTAACCCCCAAAGCAGCACTTGTAACTGGTTATCTTTCCTTTCTTCCTTTTCCCCAAATCCCTATGCCGTTAAGGTTTATTTAGTGCAGGACAAAGTATAGAATGTCTTTGATTTGCTTTTGGACTTTCATTTTATTGCTGTATGTTCGTTCACTAAAAGATGTCTTAATCAGAAACATGAGTTATTCAACACTGGTTTGATTGCTTAGTGGTTTCTTTAATCCTGTTTAGTTTTAGATGGCATACAGATTAAAATAATAATTTATCATAAAGTTTAAATTTTCTGTGAGAAAAATCTGAATTTGAGGGAGTTGAAAATATATTTTATTAACTTCTGTTTCTTGCCTTAAGCAGCAATCAAAATATAAAGTTATCAATAAGGACCAATGGTGTAACGTGCTTGAATTCAGCAGAACAATTAACCTTGACCTCAGTAATTATGATGAAGATGGAGCCTGTAAGTACTACCATATGTTGGTGTTCTAAAAGAATTTATTTCTTTGAGCTTAATCATTCAGTGTCCTTTTACAAAATTTTGTAAAATACAGTTATTTGATCTCTCTACAGGGCCAGTGTTGTTGGATGAATTTGTGGAATGGTATAAAGGAAAACAGATGACATAGGAGTTTAACTATGCACAGCCACTCAAGAGTCACTGTTACCACAGTTATGTCAACCATTAGCCATAAACTGCTATTTGTATCAAAGTGCATGCTGCTTTTCTTGCACTGCATCCCTTTTGCAGGGAACTTTTGATGTTTGCTATTTAACAAGCTAGCTATGCTTGCTGTGTAGCATTGTTCTCTTTGAAGGCTGCTTTGCATTTTGTATTTACACTACAAATTGGTGAACTTGCCAGCGTCTTCACTGTGATTATGTGTATAATGCTGTCTAAATTTTGTATATGTGTATAAAAAAAAAGCTTCACCTAGGGATTATTTCTGCAGAAATGTATTGTAAAAATAATTTTGTGGCATATTTCTAGTCATCACTTACATGTTTGTTGAAACTTTAGTTATTTTGTTTTTCTTTTGGTCTCAAATGTAGCATTTCAGAAAATGAAATGAACAGACTGCTTGGACATAGTTATGTGAAGAACTATTGTCAATTTTAATGTTACTATTTGAGATGCCAATTTCTGAGGGGAGAAGACATGCTGTGACTTTCTTCACCGGAATTCGCCAAACCTGACCTATTGCTTAATAGGAATGAAACATTGGTGTCTTAAAAAAAAAAAAAAAAACATATAAATATTAAAACACTGTAATAGTTGTACATGCCACAGATGATTTCCATTTGGAGAAAAAAAGTACTGACTTTTTAATGTTAAAACTGCAGTAGTCATTACAGGTACAAATGAACAAATTAAAGTACCTTTTAAAAATGGGTTTTAGACTTTTGTAAATTGCCTTTGGCATACTCCTTTTAATTATTGGTGTACCAAGAGTGTTTGGTCTGTGTTGCGATCTAGCGAAATTGAAAGTTCTAGTTAAAATTAGTGGTTTGGGGAATAAAGTCTGCTCACCACTAGCACACAGATAATACAGATTTGGGTTTTTTTGGGTTTTTTTGTTTGTAACATCAGTCTTCCCCAGGGTCTCTAACTTGTGTTTCTAAGTAATTAAAAATATGCTATCAAATAGTCAAAACATTACTTTTTCTTTCATGCTGGGGATCAGAATTTCCTAGCAGAATGTCCATTGCAGGCAATGGGCATGTTAAACACCAGCATTAAATGACAGTACTTTTTAGTAGGGACCACTGCCTATTTCACTCATTTCTTTATCTGTAAAGGACAGTTCTAGTGATTATTTTGGGGAAATTGAGTGGATTGAGTGAATGATGTTTAAGTTCTGTACTTCTGTCATGTTGTCTTTGCCTTACCCTTCTTTATTAAGTAATGTTAGTGTTGATTTTTATAAATTAGGTCCTTGAAGTATCTGGTGCTATTCAACTTTGATCCCTAAGGATTTATTAAAATGTTCCATATTGATTCACGGAGCATTTAACTAGGGCCAGTGGATGTTTTGGAATGAAGAATAATGTTACTTTTCTGTAGAAATATTTTACAAGGTATTGGCAGTTTTGATATTTCTCTACAATGCAATCCAGGGGAAAGGGGGGGAAGCATTTTAGGTTGAATGTGAAATTTTTAGCTGTATTGAAGGTCCTATTCTGCCATCACTGAAGTCAGGAACAACTCTCATTAACTTGGCTACTTTCAGGATTAGGCCTAGTTTAGCAAAAGCACATAAGTTTGCTGTCCTGCACCAGGAGGTTGTAATTGTGTTGCTACAGGTGGTCAATTTGTGTTCAAATCTGTTTGTTATTGTTGGTTTTTCTTTGTCAAACTCGGCTGCCAAAGACAAAAATTATTTCTGTGTGTTTGTGTGTATTTGTATATACATAAATATACAATATGTATGCATATACAAAACCTAGAATTTCATGATGCTAAGAAGAAAATGCTACCTTTCCCTGTGAAATAGTCGTGTTCGGATTTCCATGACACTAAATAGCACTCTTTAAAGTTAATAGTGGTAAAACATACATAGTCATTGTTTTTTCACGTACTAATACATGTAACCTTAATTCCATGTTTGATGCCAGTTTGCACAAGAAATTAATTCAGTGGAGTGTGGTATTTAATGTTTACAATAAGCCTCTTACTAAATCACACACGTTTTATTAAGACTTCTGATGTAAATGTGTATATTACCATAATATAACCGTAAGGAAATACCAGTGGAGCTGCTGGTTTAGTTCTTAAAAGAATGAACTTAGAAGCAATATAACTTTTAACATTAGGCTAAATCGTGGTTGCTAAGATTTTAAGTGAAATACTGCAATTGTTCTTCAATGTTAGGCTAATTACTGACTCTGGAAAACTGTTTAGCACAAATTGGCATGAATACTGTAACAAATACAAGGTTTGCATAAAAGGTTTTGTATGTCACAAATAATTTGGCTTCCAATAATGGAAGCAAGAGCCAAAGACACTTTTAATCTACTACTGTTATAGGTATAACTTTCATGTAACAGGGTCAACAGAAATCTGTTCAGCTTAACCAGGTGCTTTTTTTTCCAAGTTTTGCTAATGTTTAGCAGAATACAAATTTATTTAAAAGCAGAGAAAACAGAGGAAAAGAAACCTTAGAAAGTACTTGTGCTGTGTAAGTAAACTTTTCATTTTCGGGTAAAAGTAATCAGGAAAGGAAGAATTTGTTTGGAAATTAATGGAATGCTGCAATTTTTTTTCTTTCACTTGCAAGCAGGATTATTCTGTAGTCTTCAACTGGTTTATAAACACACATCTTCATAAATAAACCACAAATTCAATTACAGCTAGTAGACAGCTTTACTGACATTTATAGAGAACAAATGGACTAAAACGGACCCGTATGGCTTGATAAGCTTCCCTGTGTTATCCATCCTTCTGTTTTTGCTATATATGCTGATAAGCAGAGGATCTTAACGTTGCTAGCTCTTGTATTTTGGAGAAATTCCCTCTCAGTTTTAGATAATTGTGGAAGCTTAACTATGCTACTCAATTTACCTTGTAGTTAGTACAAGTTTGATGTTTGCTTTTTTGCTTGTTATGCCATCATATAGTTGATGTAGGGTTGGGTTTTTTTTTCCTTTTGAAAAGTAATGTACAGAATATGTTGACTTCTTGGACAAGAAACTAAGAGGTTGTTCTGGCTGAAGTGTCACAGGTCTTATACTTATCTTTCTGGTGCACTATTACTGTCCTTATAGCAGAAACCTGATGATCTATGTGCAATTCATGCTTGGTATTTGGGAGATGTGAAGTGGAAAGCCAGTTAGTGAAAGGAAGACAACATTCAGAGACTGCAGCAGTGGACAGTCTTAAATTGATAGGTGACAAACATTTGGAGCTCGTTATTAGAATAGCTGTAGAGATAGTAGTAACAGAAATATTCCACAAATTAATTACACAGCAAAATAATTTTAAGTTTTAAAAATTCTTAATGTAATTGTGCTACTGTTGCTTTTTCACTTTTTATCTTTTCTAAGGAAAGCAAACTGAAGAGGATGGAATTTATTGGAATCCTTTACATACTTGAGTTTTCAGTTAGAGCCTGTTTAAGGTTGTAGTTAAGCTACAGTAAATATTTGGGTCTCCTTTGTGTAGCCTTTTCTAACATTTGCAGAGAACTGAAGGCTTCTCCCATTTTACCACAAATACATGCATTTTATTTAATTATATGTTCACACAATCAAAATTAGTTATAGGTCAGTGCTACTTGGTTAACATTCCCAAGTTACCTTTTTGGAGGGCAAGAAATGGACTTCAGTTGTATTAAGGTTTTCCCAGATTTCTGTTGACCCTTGGTCACAAGTCTAACAGATTGTTTAATACTCTTGGAATTCATATAGACAGCTTTAAAGGTTAGCTTGTGCCCTGGTTTTTAATTATAACTGCTAAAATACCTCTTTCTAGGCCTTATATTTTGTCCTTTCATATTGCTGTAAAAGCGTATAGAATCCATCCACCAACTAAATAGTTTGTTGTCTGTAATTGAGACCAAAACTTGGCTTGGTATTTTTGTTTGGTTTTATTTTTTAAATTTTTTCCCCTCTGTGCGTGTGTGTGTAGATGTGTTGCCACAAAATAGTACCTACTGACACTGCTGTTGCAGGAACAGCAGTTAATCTGTAACTGTGAATGCTTTATGTCTTAGTTATTTGGATATTACATACATAAGGTGTGCTAAACTCCTGTGACTCACAACCTGATGAAAATACTGTTATGCCACCTAACATGAGTTCATCCACTTGATTTTTAGGTCTTTTGCTGGTGTTGATGTAAAATGGCATCCCACAAATAAACAGTATTTGTGTTGGTTTCAGCAACTGACTTCAGATTTTTCTGTGGTTCATACTTCAGAAATCTCATATCTGAACATGCATCACGTCAGCTGGCAACCTTTATCATTTATCAGCAGAGAACTTACATGTACAATCCTGTCCTTATTTCTAATACTAAGGCAAATCAGTATTTAAAACTTTGTTGGAAACAGGTATGTTTCAAAGGGGGTGTGTGGGTGTAAAACAGTATTGTAATACAAAAGTTTTCAACAGAAAGAGTCAGTCTGAGCTGGAATGTCTCTTAAGACAAAATTTTACAAGCAGCATGATCATTACCTGCTCATCGTGACACAGGCTTTTGACCCATGAGGTCCTAATAGAACAGCTGATGATGTGTGGGCTGGATGAGCAGACAGTGAGGTGGACCAAAAACTGGCTGACTGCTGACCAGGACGCTCTGGGCCCAGCCAGTGCAAAGTCTAGTTGGAGGCCAGTGGCTAGCAGTGTACTGCACGGTCACTGCTGGGTCCAGTCCTGTTCAACATGTTCAGTAATGACCTGCATTATGGGGCAGAGTGTACCCTCGGCAAGTTTCTTAACGACACAAAACTGCAAAGCGTGGTTGATGTACCAAAAGGCTGTGCTGCCATCCAGAGGGACCTCCATAGCCTGGAGAAATGGGCTGACAGGAACCTCATGAACTTCAACAAGGAGAAGTGCAAAGTCCTGCACCTGGGGAGGAACAACCCCAGGACCTGGGGGTCCTGGTGGACACCAAGTTGAAGATGAACCAGCAATGTGCCCTTGCCACAAAGAAGGCGAATGGAATCTTGGGCTCTGTTAGAAAAATGTATTGCCAGTACGTCGAGGGAGGTGATCCTTCCCCTCTGCTCAGCACTGGTGAGGCCACAGCTGGAGCACTGTGTCCTCTTCTGGGTTCTTCAGTACCAGAGACACCCCAACATACTGGAGAGAGTCCAGCGAAGGGACACAAAGATGATGAAGGGACTGGAGCTTCTCTTGTATGAAGAGAGACTGAGAGAGCTGGGACTGTTCAGCCTGGAGAAGGGAAGTTGCTGGAGGGGGATCTTAACTAATGTATATAAATGCTTGAAGGGAGGGTGTAAAGAAGACAGAGCCAGACTCTTTTCAGCGGTGCCCAGTGACAGGACCAGAGGCAATGGGCACAAACTGAAACACTGGAGGCTCCATTTGAACATCAGGAAACACTTCCTGACTATGAGGGTGACCGAGCACTGGCACAGGT